TGTAATACCCCAAAAATTTCAAGCATATTAAGTTGAGTTAAGGACCTAATGGTGAAGAAACATTATTAATGGACCTAATTGCCAATTTTTCAAACTTCAAAGGGGTTAAACTCTTATTGGATAAGGCCGGCTGACTCATTTCTTTTTTTCTTTTTCTTCTTTCTTTCTTTCTTCCCAGCCACTTTCGCGTCTGCTCTGTTTTCTCCTCCCTGCAGCCGAACACCACCAGCCTTCACCCCCGCCTACTCCTCTTGGAAACTTGGTAAGATCTTGGTAAATTCCTTCCCTTTTCTTGTTGAACAACAAAATTTTAAAGCTTAAAACTCTCTCCCTCAACCCAGGAATTTCGGATCTGCTGTCTTCTCTCTTCCCTGCCGCCGGTGTTGCTGGAGTGAATACCGGTTTTTCCTGGTAAAATCAGCCATGAATTCCCTTCTTTTTCAACCTTGATGAGTGTGGGTTTGCTCTAATTCTCCTTTCTTCAATTGCTAGAAGTCTGCGTGAAGCCCCTGCGATTTTTCCCGCCGGCTCTTCCCTCATCCCGCCAACTCCAGCTTGCTTGTTGAGCATTTTTGGTAAGTTGGCTTCTCTAATCCTTGAAAATTGGTGGATTAATTGGTGCTTGTGAGCTTTAATTAGTTGTGTGGGTGTTTGGGTTGTCAAGGACCAAGATGCCGAAGGTGGGGGATGGGTTTCGGCGAATTGAGAAATGAGTTTTGGTTGATGAATTGTGTAGGAAATTAAGGGGTTTTGGCTGTTGTGTGTGGGTGTCCATGAGGAAAGGGGAGAACCCGTGAGTTGGCCATTTTTGTCAAGGCCGGTTCTCCCATTGCTTGTCCATAGATTTGAGAAAAATGGTATATGGGTAATTACATAATTGTAGATATATAGATAAATACCCAATCCCGGTTAATGCTTGATTTTCACATAGAAAGCAAAAATGAAAATAAATAAAGGAATGAAATTTCCTTATAGATATTAACTCGAGAATATTGTGATTAGGTCCTTGATTGCCCTGTGATCTTAGCACGTGGATTAGGCCTTCTGTCCTGTGTAATTTAAGGTAAGTAGATTATGGTAATGCCCTTCAATTTTAAAGCATGTTTTGACTTGATTTTGAAGTGGTGGCGAGACTAAACCCGTTTTACATAAGTATAACCGATTTAAAATGAAATTGTTATTCTTTTTATTGACTTGAGCATGCCTGCTTGGAAATTATTTAACTGCCCTGATGATTTGGAAATTATCTGCAAAGTATGATTTTCTGTTAACTTCTGCCTGTTTTGTCTCCGATACGGTCATGTTATCCTGTTGCCCGCTAGTGGGAGGTCAAACGCTAGCACATGTCGACATGTTCCTGATAGAACCGGTTCATTCCTGTAATCCTGCTAGTGGGAGTTAAACACTAGCAATTCCTGTTGCCTGCCAGTGGGAGGTTTAAACACTGGCCATGGCCTATAGAGGAGACGTCTATTTCGTTCTCGTACCGTATCTGTTTTCGTGATTGTACTTGTTGGCATGTTACAAATTTTAATTAAGGGCACTCCATATTCTACTTATTGAGTTTATCTCATAGTTTTTCTTGTCCACCATTTCAGGTAGTGAGACCGGACGCGTGGGAAGCCCGGGGGAGTGACGAGCTAGACGGCTAGGCACTTTTGGACTTAGGTTTTTTGTAGCTAAGCCGTTAGTCACCCATGCTTGACATAGAAATTTTGTGTACAGAACGTAGTGTTAGTCATGATTTTATATATATGAAGTGATAAATATTGTACATTTGACTGGTAACTATTTGGTAAATTAAAAGGCTTAAATCTGAATTGCTAAGTAAGAACTCAGTAGGTCTCGAGCCTTGTGCATTTGTGGGCCTCGCCCACGAATGCACGGCGTCTGTCGCGCCTCGAATTCGGGTTTTGGGGCGTGACA